TCTGCGAGTTTAGTGCAAAAACGCATGATCGCACCGGAGAGCCTGGTGCGTTCCAGCCTGGGTTCATTTTTTCCAAAAGCAAACATTTACTGGAAAAACGACCGAGCTTCATGCAAAAAACTGGTAATCATGTGGAGCTTTATAATGCACCACCTCATCCCACTCAACGCCCTTCCTCCTGCGTGCTGGAAGGGGCCAAAGCACGGCCAATATGAGCATAAGTATTAGGCTACAGCGCAGGGATTATTTGTGCTACTAGCAGCTGGCGAGTTTAGTGCAAAAACGCATAATCGCACGTGCAAGCCTGGTGCGTTCCAGTCTGAGTTATACTCTTCGGCTCACCGTTCAAATAAACAAGCGCCAAACCGAGAAGTTTCGGTTTCATAAATCCTGTAATTCTACAGTTATAATATTAGACTGGGTCTGGAACAAAGGCTATTCCTCAAATTACTGCTTCAGGACCTTCAATCGGAATTTTTTAGCAATAGGTTTTTAAAATTTTGAGAAAGGCGTGTTGTTAATTCTTCAGTTACCATTCAAGGTGAATCAAAATTCGAAATCACACTTTAGAAGAAAGCAAAGTTTAATAGTTGATCTGAAGCTGCTTACTTCTTCATGCGCATTTAATTAAACACTTCATATTTTGTGTTTGTGACATAACCTCTTATCGAATCATAATCATTAACCAGATTTTAGCTGAATTTAATGCAAACTTCTGGTCTGGTCTGCTGTTTGTCTAGTTTATTTCTGGTCTGCTGCTCTTCACATCACCGAGAATTACGCTTTTGAAAAAAATGCTTTTGAAATTTTGGTTTCTAATCCGACCTGCACGCTGATATATATACATATATATATATATATATATAAACAAGCGCCAAACCAAAAAGTTTCGGTTTCATAAATGTATATATATATTAGCGTGCAAATATATATATAGGCATGTTTTTCTGGCCTTCAATCAATTAATATATATATTTATATATATGAGGCCAGAAACATATATATATATATTTTGACCCGCGATTTGACCCTAACTATGCGTCCGACAACTTCTCCGGTTGCTTCCACCAGTGTCGCATCAGTCTGCTAGGGATTCGGGCATTTGTTTCATCTCCTGGAGGGATTATGGCTCATGGTTCACCTAGTAGAAACACTTTTGTATGTTATAATCGATTCGAGATGTCACTGGTCCCTGTTAAACACAACCATCTCGTTTCGAACTCTGCCATACTTAGACTACGATAAGCTACCTCACACAGCAATTGTATTGTGATTATTTAAAATTTCACAAAGAGCAAATTTATATTTTCATGTTTACTATCTTATTATCTGCAAAAAAATGCTAACAGTGAGTAAACGAAGCATTTACCAAAAAACTTTTTAAAATAATATTATCAAATATTTGTCATAAAGCGTTTTGTCGAAAAATGTTGCGATTGTCTGAAACATCTGAGCAAGAGTAATGCTGGCCATAACTCAAACATAGCAGCATATGCAAAATAGGAAAAAGTGCAGCCTAATTAAGAAATAACCGTTGCTTTATTGCCCATACAAATGAGCTAAGGAAAAAATTTTTTGCAGTGCGTCTAACAGGTACAAAAATTGGTTGCAACGAAGGAGGCTGTGGAGCGTGCACAGTGATGCTGTCCGATCTCGACCCTCAAACTGCTTCAATAAGGTGAGCTTGTATTCTACATCCAGGGAATCGTTGACTAAGAAGTGGCAGTTATTAACTTCCTCAGTCGTAGTTTTGGCGATACTGCGTTAGCGTTCGCACATTTGTACTGGCTAAAAGTCCAAAACTTAGCTTTACTCTGAAAGGATAAAAACTGATAATGTGCTTCTGAAGTTTCCACCAAAACTTTTTTTAGCCACCACAAGCAAGTTCTCTTTAGTTATACTCTGTAATTTGAACTAATTTTGATTCTGTGGTGCTGTGCAGCACATATGGGCCTAATCTAATCTAGTGGTAATTTAGAGTTCATTTTAACTTGTTTCTCGAAGATTTCACACTTCTGCTTTATATGTTACTCATTTAATTTTTATTTTTCGTGATGGGGTTTTGTAGCCTAACACGAGAAATAAAGGTTAAAAAGATTCTGAAATAAAAGTTAGGTCAGTTGGCATAGGCACTTTTCAATTCATTTGGACCTGATCTAGCTCAGTAGATGCCTTTCAGATTGCAGCCTCTGGTGAGTATTTTTCAGAAAATTTAGGCTTGAGCTGATCCAATCAACCGCAGATGTCTCTGGGATATTTGAAACTGAGCGAATCCAGCACTTCTTTCAGTATACATTGACTCAATTTTCCAATTTACCACTGTTTCGTTACAGTGAAAATGAAATGTTTTTAGGCACTACAGCGTGAATGCTTGCTTGACGCCGCTGTGTTCAGTGTTTGGTAAGGCAGTTACAACGGTTGAAGGAGTTGGTAACTCGAAACAGCTGCATGCAGTACAAGAGCGGTTAGCTAAGTGAGTAGTCGTCACATTGTGAGGGGAAGATGAGCATTCCAGATAGTCTAGGAACGTTACAGGTAACCATTGCAGTAATACACAAACAACATAATTCTCAGGGCACATGGATCACAATGTGGATTCTGCACTCCCGGTTTCGTGATGGCGTTTTATGCCTTACTGAGAAGCAATCCAAAGCCGAGTATTTCTGAAATTAATGAAGCAGTTCAAGGTATGATCGGTAATCGACCCATCGAGAGTGTAACTTAAACATGCAGGATATGTTCTTGTGCAGCGCTACTTAACATGCAGGATATGTTCATAGCTTGCAAATTGAAGGTAATTTATGCCGCTGTACTGGATATCGTCCAATTCTGGATGCCATGTATTCGTTTGCTTCACCGGCGAAAAACTGCAGCAAGCAGTGTACGCTCAGAAGACAGCCCTGTAAAATGAATGGAGATGTTGGGGAAACCAATCAGGTTTTGCCTGTGGCGTTTTTTCATTCAGTTCAAATGCCTTCCAAAATCCAATAGTTTGTACAGAATTCAAAAAAGCGAGGCAATTTTTGGACTAGGCCACCACATTTCCAATGTACTGTGTTGTTTGAATTAGCCCAGCAGAAGGTCCTCTTATT